GCTTCATCTGTACTGAATCCACATGCTTAACACCTTTTGACAAAATGGATACAGCCTCCCTGTGGCTTGGAATTGATATAAACTGTCAAAAAGGGTTTTCTGAATGGTCTTTCTCTGTCACCTTTACCAGATTTTTATCCTGTGTTGTAGAAATGTGCAGTTTAATGTTGCGTTTCAAATCATTTTTGGCTGAAAAAGTGTGTAATGGAATCAGGGTGTCCCCTGGATACTCCTAACAGTTGGAGATGTCTCTTTGTTTTGAACACTGGAATCCCAATAGACCTGTGACAGCAGTGGAATCACACTTTTGACCTTATTCACTAAAGTGTTGTTTTCTCTGGATGATTAAATGAGAGTAACCAACAAGATCTTCCCCTAGAATGTGAGTTTGCTCTATTTGTTTCTCAAAAGAAACATAGAAGGGATGCTCTGCAATTTTCAGCTGATTGCGTTTTCCACAAAAGAGAAAACAAACAAACAAACAAAAAACCCCTAAGCCCTGCTCTGATTCAAGGAGGTGGTAGTTATTAGGCATATTAAAAATGCAAAAGCAGCTGATATATCAATATTTTCCTTAAGCCACGGTTGTTGCTACATCCTGAGCATCACAGCAGCGATACAGCACAGTGCAGATTTTTATCCTGCTGTTGCTTCACTCTCCATGTATTTTAAAAGCGAATGTATATTAAGGCACCAAATGCAATTTCTAAGTATTGAACCTGAATATAGAAAATAACCATATACTTAATGTTGTGGGTGAATTTAGCTGATCTTTATGGACTACACAGTCATGTCAATCCAAAAGATAAATGCAGTTTTCTGCAGATGCAGCCTTTTAAGCTCCTGGTGTTTCTTTTCATTTGCATGTGACTGAGCAGACACAGCCAGCTGTAGGATTTGCCATGACTGCCGGTCCTGCCTTGTGCATTGAGCTACTCGCATATCTCTTGCTCCCCATTTACTTATTCAGGGTGTGGCTTCTCTGGATCAGAACTCAAGAGGCCAGAAGAGATACAAAATCAGGTTCTTGCTTCATCCATTTTAGGCTACTTCAGCTGCGTTTTGGGGATTTTTTTCTCCAACATATTCGTGTTTACTATAAATATCCCAGCTCTGGAATAGTGAACATACTTTCATTGTCATGCAGAGCACATGAAATGCAATGGCAAGTACAATCCTGTAGTTCCTGTGAGTGGGGAGTTCAAAAGAGAGGAAAGGACTCAGGGAAATCTAGTTTGTTTTTAGAATAGATCAGAATAAGTGACTTACTGGCCTCTGTGGCCTCAAGACTTCTGAGCAGTTTCTCACTGTTGATGGTGCTATGTGGAGAGGACATCAGAGCATGGAGGGCAGTGCACTGAGGTGCTGCAGATCTTTGACTCCCGCTTTCCAATCCTGCCAAAAAAAGCTTTTGTTTTTTTAATTACTGCTTCATTGGTGATATAAATTAATGATTGGTATGGGTCTGAAGCAACCTTGTCATCAGAGAATATTTGGTTAGCGTTGACATACTTGTTCTCTGCAAACATGAGTCATCTATCTGCCTTTGGCAGGCTCACCCTGTGGCTCTGCTATAATGTGTTTCACCAGTATGGTGGAAATTAAAATGTCACTGTTAACCATGGCAGAATCAGATGCTCTCTGGGCACCACATCTATTCAAGTAGTTCTTGTTTCCTATGTAGTTATTTCTGACAGTTTAATAGGACAGCTGTATTCTGGCATAAAACAATATGTTCATATATCCTCAATAGAGGGGGAGTTAAATGCTAATAGAAGACTATTTCCTTGCATACACATGTGTTTCATGCATGACAGAAGCAGTAATGCTCATGTAACACCATGTTGCTGTTTAGTCCATTAGGAAGTGTAAAGTCAAAATTAATTGTCCTGCAGGACCGTATAGAGTGGGTCTCTAAAAGCAGTTACTGGAGCTGTTTGCAGCTGCTGCATCAGCCAGGCTCCCTCCTCGTGAGCAGTTATTGACTCTGGGCTATTGAATTCAGGGCTCTGGAGGTTGCTTGGTGGAAAAAGCCTTCAGTTGCTGCTTGGCAGCTCTGTCACTGCAAGGTCACAGAAAGGGCACTTCAGTCTCCAAACCCAATTAGGGCCTTATTCAGCACCTTTTCAATCGCAGGGGAATATCCCACTGAGCAGGGTGACTCCTAGGCCAGGCTTCTGCACCCAGCCCCCTCATTGAGGCAGCCAACAAATGTGTCCTTTTTTGTCACTTGAGCCATCAGAAATACCCTTTGCTATCATGAAACAGCTAAGCAGTTAGTGAAGAAAGGTTAAGAGCCCAGTACAGGCTTATAAGCTCACCACAGCTTTTTTGGACTGGTGCCTTGTACATGTATGTCTATGTCCCTCCCTTTACTCATATCTAGAGCTGTCTCATTCCTCAGATCAAATCATTTGACTCTTATTAACAGCTGTAACTTGCAAGTTGAATAACGTCCAACTGCTGAAAACATTAATGAAAACCATAAAACTCTCTTTTACCAGGTATCAACAATATTGCTTTAATTCCTCCCCCTCTGAAGAGTGTGTGTATGTGTGCTGGGTTGTGCTTTTCATCCCAGGTGGCTGCCAATTCTGGTGAAAATAAGTTGAGCTGTGAAAGGTTGACCCACTCACCTCTGAATTGCTTTTTATATGATGTGAGTCCCTCAGGGCCCAATTCTACCCATAAAAGTGAGAAAGACAGCTATCAAAATATACAGGAAGTGTGTCAATATGCACAAAGAAAAAGATGAACCCCAGACTGGTCTGAGTGGTCAGTCTTTAAAACATGGATTTCCTGTGAAAAGCAAAGAATAATTAGAAAATTAGCCTGATGTGCTAGCAGTTATATCAATGTGTGGTTTTATGTTAGCTCTTTCAGGCAAGCAAAAGATCAGAAAATTGCTTTTTACTCAAACTAGTGTGTAAAATTTAGTTAGAGTCTGATCAGCTCCTCTGATCAGTCTAGTCTAGACTGTTGCCTGAGTATGTACTCTGTACTAAACCCACAGACCCCTTAAGTAGAGTCTTACTCAAGTGAATCAAATAACATATTAAAAAGTTATATAAAATGTTCACTGTCTGAGTAAATTAATCTGGTTCAAAGCTGAATAACTTAGGAACAGCAAAAATAAAAGCAGAAGTGTTGTTGCAGAGGAGAGGTGGTAGAGTTCTTAATTCATAATTAAATTACTGTCTCAGAAACACAAAAGAAAAATTTTCAGCAAACTTTTATTATTTTTAATAAGATAGTAACTTTTTTAAGCCTGTAATAAGAGTTCCTAAAGGAGAAAAAAAATCTGTCAAAAATTATGCACAAATTTTTTTAGGAAAAAAATTTCCTAAAATGTCTGTCTCAAGTACACAATATTGGTTTTAATTTAGGGCCAATGGGAGCCTTCCGTATGTAGGCTGCACTCTTGCCACCTCTAATTTCTACACAGGGTTATTTGCAAGGAAATGCTGTAAGTCCAAGAACAGTAAATTTTTCAAAGCAAAGCAGTTTTCCCCTCATTGCCAGAGGTCTTCAGACATCTGCCATTGTTGTACCATCCTGAAGCTGTCTGCTCTTTGCCACATGAATCTCAGAAATGTGAACAGTTCATTTACTCACAGTTAATGCAGCTGCTGCCTTTCATATACTAGTAACATTAGATGACAATTTGGAGACAATTTTAGTCCAATGACCAATCCAAAAGACTTGGAAATCTGTCCAGTGCCACTAATTTTAGAAATTCAGTTATGTACCTGAGTTGATTTTCTCAAGATACCTGTGTTTTGAATTTTGAAGTTTAAGTCTTCGGTCTTCATGTGCCTACTATATTTGCTGGTTGCATTGCAGTGCCATCAGAACACCTGGCATAGAGGCAATGACAGCAAATTGATCAAATTATCAGGGGAAGTAAGCTAGCTCATCAATAGGACATCAGTGGGGTGAAAATATCACAGAAATGGGACCATTTTAATCATAGAGAAACTGATCCAAGTGGCAAATACTTTATTTAGCTACACCAAATTCTGTCTAAATTCAAGGGGAGAGCTGCTACACTGCTGTTATCCAAACACTGAATTAATTTACTGATGGCTGAGAAACAGTTCCACAACAGGAACATTAAAGTTTTTGGAATGATACATAGCTTATCAAAAGTGGCGGGCATTGCTCCACTTACAGAGAGATAAGTAATGGAAAGATAAAGAAACACAGTTCCATGAGTGAATACATGAATGTAGAATGCAGTAAAAATATTGGGTAAACTCTTCCCTCCTGTGACTTGCCTTCCAGCCAGTGGCATTATACCAGGGAAATATTGGACCATATTTTGTGTGCATCAAATCAAATTGTTAAGAGACAACAGGCAGGTGTTTGAGAAAATTTTCTCTCCGCCATTTGCAGAATTGTATGAAATCTTCTGGCTAATCTACAGTCATTCCATTACCTGCCATCTTTCAGCAGGTAACTAGTTAAATTTGTGTTAAATAGGATTTGCTTTGCTGTTTCCATTTACTGTTGGAGTAGAAATGTTCTGACATGACATATGACCAATTAATAATTGGAAAGTGCTTGGATGAGTCATTTGAAGGCAGTAGTTTAGACAGCATCAGCCACAACTCATATTAAAACCTGCAAGAAGAGTTTTAATAAATAAAATAATAAAAAACCCTACAATCAGTGATTCTGCAGCATCTCCTCTGGGTGTCTGCATTTCACTTAATAAAGATGCCCTGCAGACATCAATTGAAATAACTCTTGCCTTTGTTGCTTGGATGTTTTTGTGAGCTCTAAAATGAACTTGGCTTATACAAGTATACTTTGTTACCCAGCCTAAAGGATAGGATGCAGGGCAGAAATTACCCTGTTCTGCTGTCAACCTCAGTAGAAAAGAAATGGCTTTGGCTATGATTCTGAAGAGAATAAGAGTGTGACTGTACCCCATGGTTTTCTGTGGGTTTTTTACTTTTTTTTTTTCCTGTGGTGATGATGTTTTATTACTTTTACAGAGCTATAATAATCCGAAATGGCGAAGTCATTCCAATGTCTTCAGAATTCACTCCAGAGACTGAACGCCAGCGACTTCAATATCTGGTAAGAGACCTGAGGACCAAATCAGGTGCTGCTGATGACAAGCATTGCCCAGTAATGTGAAAGGCTCAGAGAAATGCTGCTGAGTTACTGTGGCTCAGTGAAGGATGACGTGTCCACTGAACACCAGTGACTGGTCATGTATGTCTTTAAGACATCAGCAAATGTGGAGAAAATCCTGGTGGTGCAAATGTCAATAAAAGGAGTATTACCTCTTCAGCAAAGGCCATTGATTAGCATGGCTGTGCTTGTGTATATTGTTTGGCTCCAGACCCTTCAGCAGTGCACTGGTGTTGGATTTTGAAAGCTCAGACATAGAGCTAATGAGCCACAGATGTATTTAATCCATCCCAGTGCTTTCTGTGTGACAGTATAAAATACCACAGGCCGCTCTTTGTATGTGAATGATATTGCAGAGTTTGATTAATTTACTCTAACAGTATGCCGTATCACAGTATAGCAGTATCTCCATCAGGAGAAAGATATCCAACTTGGAGGTGATCTCAATGAACATTAGTAGCTGCAGGATAGGATGGGTGATCAAAGATTAGTTTTATTTACTGTAGCAGCACCCATAAAGCTGGGACAGGGAGACTAGCATGGCATGCTTTATAGACCAAGCTGTGTTGGGTGATAAGCTGCCTGAGTAATATAAGTCAAAATGTATGGTGTTATTTTTCATCCAAACTATCCTGTTACTTTTTAAGGTTTTAATCAATGGACAGATCAGTTGGTTGAAGTCGATTAGTTGCTTGTCAAAATGTCATTCCTAACGTGGCTGAGAGATTTCCTTTGTGCTTCTTCTGTTCTGCTTTTTCCTTTTAGAAATTTAAGCTTCAGCCAAGGCAGGCTCACTCTTGGCCTTGCCTGACTCAAGATGGGCAGGCCAAGGTTAGTGATGTTCCCAGGTCTTAAGTTGTCTTTTATTTTCAATGTAGACCCAAGCACTGTGATTTGAAACTAGACAAAATGCCAGTGTTTGAAAGGTTTTAATGGAAAAATTGTGTTTCCTCAATTGTCACATTTAATTTTTTTTCAGTCAGATTCATTGGCTTGAAGTTGAAAATTTCAGAGAAAATACTGCTTTGGGACTATTTATATTCAGAGAATCAAATGGAAAAGAGGCCTAATAAATATTTACGGTTCAGTTACATTTAAAATAATTTGTTTGCCTCTAAAATAAAAGGTATCTTTAGCATCTAGGGAGTCTGCTACTTCTGTAGGAAATATGAGATAGAACATTGCCTACAAGTTTTGTTTTTCTCTTTTGATGTCCTTTCTGGCTTAAATCTGAAACCAGTAGCTGATCTGAAAAGCATTTCTGCTGTTTCCTGTGGAAAATTCCTTTACCTTTGTTTGTCTATTTTAATTCTGTATGTAACAAATAAGCCAGGTCTATGGCTATCATGTTCAAAGAGAATACATGCAAGACAGCAAGAGCGTGAAACAAAATTACAGATAATTTCAAACACAACATTCCTTAAGTAAGATTTTTATTCTTGTGTTAAAAAACCAAAAGTTGACCCCAAATTTCTTTCAAGGTTGGCATAAGCATTACACTCCAAAGTTTTCATCTGTCTTGCTAATTAGATCCCAAATAATTCCTCTACTCACTTATCCATCCTCATGTTCTCATCTGTTGTTCTGTCTGAAAGTTATTTACATTGAGTCTATTTTCTTATTTGCAGTTAAAGCTGAGTTTTTGTTTCAAATATGTTGCACTGCTCTTCCTGCACGAACGGAAGAAAATCCCTTAATCACTTTAGCATTAATATTTTACTTGGTAAATGCAGAGATACTGTTCACTATGAGAAAGTTACTGTAGAAGCAAAGGGAGGGTATGGATTTACAGCCTGCAGGCTGTTGCCTGTGCAGCAGGAGCTTCCCTCTGCCTTTAGTGCCTGTTGATTGCTTCAGTCACACAGGATATTATTTTAGGCTTTATTTTCTGAGCCTTAATTTCTGCGTGGAAAGAAATCCATGGGATAGTGAGTAGTTCAGGTCATGTGAGTATGTTTATATAAAGTATCTTCATATGAAGTCCTCCAGTCTTAGACAAAGCTGTGCTTCAGCTAATACTGATTGAGTAACTGAGAGAGAAGGGAAGCAAATGTGTTTCCTGTCCTGGAAGTTTTATTGCCATGCCTCCAAGAACGGCTTTGGCAGTAGGCCTCTGGCATGGAAACCTGAAAAGAGCAAGTTGGCTATCCAGTCACTCTGACTTCAGAGCAGCTCTGAACCTGGTCATCACTCCATAGGAGGGCAGTGGCGGGGCAGCATCCAGCTGCAGACTACAGGCAGGCTATAGGCAGAGACAGACTTCTGTGTCAGGCAACTTGTGAGAATATTGCAGGAGGCAGTCAATCCTTCAGTCAGAGAGCACTTCTTCAGATGTAATGTGTGAAAGCTTTGCACCAGTATTCCCTTGGTCCTTTGGCCTTCTGTAGCAGTTCAGTGGACCATGTTGCTTCCCTTCCACTGTTGAGCATTTGAAAGCCTCCTTTTCTTCTGAATTTCTGTGTCTTGTTTTTAGCACTGTAGCAGGAGAGCTCCACACAGTGCCTGGGAAAAGTCCTGTTTTCCCCTATCAGTGTATCTTGAAGGAAAAAAAAATCCAGTATTTACTGGGAAATGCTCTGGTACATTCAGCAGTTGTGCAGGCAGTGACAGCCAGAAGCAATTTTTCTTTCATCTTGTGAGGAGACTATTAATTTCAATCATGATAGTCTGAATTGCAACAGTAAATAGGATATTTTTTTACTTATTCCCTTGGAAAAATGTGTTTCAAATGAATGGGGAATTTGGCATACTGCAGATGGGTGAATTTCTATTAGTTGCTGTACTTTCAAGATGTCATGAGGTCAATGTGGTATTTGTAGCATCTTCATGTGTATAGCCAAACAGCCCTTCAAAAGTTCACCAGAAATGGTGCACCACTGCTACCAGTGCAGGTGTCACTGCTAGTAGAGGCTGTGTGGCCACCAGTGACAGTGACAATGGGTACTCTGTGTCTACCACCATTCAAGCAAAGGTTCATGAACCCACATAGTCATGGGCTCAAAGGGGATATATTCATATTTTGTTGCTCAGGTGAGGATAAAAGTGACACTAACTCACTCACCTGCTGAAGGATGCCTGCAGAACCTGAGCCTGAAGAGGAGATGCACCTAGATCTCCTAAATGTCCAGTCAGCAGTTTGATTACAAGACAGTCAAGATGTAATTCTCTTACAGTTTTTGGCTCCCTGTAGTGCCCAGAATAGGATTACTTCAGCCATCTGACGCAGTGGATGATGCTGTGGTAAAAGAGACTGTGCTGTGGTTCCATGAAAGGGGTCCTAGCCTTTCACAACATGAGAGACCAATCAAGAGATTGATTTGGCTTCTAGTCTTCTCCTTCGTTTTACCACCATGTCCTTTAATTTTAATCTCTCTTTGGTTTAAATGTGTCCCTATGATAATGGCTGAGTCATTTGCAGACCTTATGGGTGTGTTGGGCTGTGCATGCTGTTGTGAGTAGTAGTCCCATATAGTAGAATATTCTTTTGGAGAAAAGGGCACAATATGATAAAAGTGTAAACTTGTAAGATATAGTTGGTGTAGGGGAAAGCAGCAAATCTGAGAATAGCACAGATTGCAGTGAAAGCACTAGTGTCAGTGACTTTCCAGTGCAGTGCCTAGTGAAGGAACTGGAAAAGGCAGTGCAGACCTTGCTGAGGTACAGATAAGATACATGCAGTGTTTCCTGCCACCTAATTAACTGCCATGCTAGTGTGTAAGTCTAGGTTTATCATAATTTCATGTTTGCTTTTGTAATCACCAGGAAACACAGCAGGAAGTAAATGCCCTTTTTAAACAACCGTGACTAATATTTCTTTGACTGAGCTCCATTTTAAACAACTGATTTTGAATGCAATGCATCCAGCCACAAAACACACCATAAAATGGCCAAGTGCCAAAAACACAAGGCATACTATGCCAGATTTATGCCCAAAAGCTCTAACAGCTTCTGAAAGAGAAAATATGAAAAATGTTCCAGTTCCATAACACAGAATAACACTGTTGGCTGAAAATACCTTGTAAGGATATAGGAAGTGTTTGATAACCACGCTGTTTGTTAATTGTCAGGTTCTCTTGAATGGTGTTTCTGATCCGAGGTTCTTACAAATCAAGACTAAACAAATTTGAAAATGGAAAATACATTGTGTATTTCACAGGTAAAATTCTGGTAGTCAGTTCGCTTACCTTTTATTATTTGTTTATTTGTTTGATCACTTGAGGGGATTTCATGCTTGTATATAGAAAGATCTGCAGATTTTTAAACTGTTGCTTTTTATTTATTTTCTGGTTCTGCTGCTCAGCATGGTTTTGTTGAGGTGGAGAGAAGAGTCAAGCCTTGTACATGGAGAACAGTTCTCAACAAACCCAACTGGAAGTTGCAGCTGAATTCTAAAGCAGAACATTCTTCTTTCTGTAGAATTACCAGTGAAGCATCAAAAATAACTGTTAAAAAAAATGGTAAAAAATACGGAAAATTAAAATATTAAGCAAAGCACAATGAAAATCCCCATTTCTTCACATAAGAATTCGTATCACAGACACCAGACACTTCCAAATTGCTCTTTTCCCTCTGTTTCACTGACGCCAAAAATATTAGAATCAAGTTAAGATCACTGGATTGTAAATCAAGTGTTGAGGCTTGGCTGTAGAAGAGAAGTCTTATTTGAACATTAGCAGTCCACTGGTAACTGTGCCAGCTTTATTAATCTTATTTCAGTTATGACCTCAGACTTTCCATCTGAGTAAATCTTTATGCAATGCAGTCTCTCCTGATTGCTTTACCTTTTCAATAAAGGAAATTCTTGTTTTTAAGTGAAAAAATACTAAAAGCCTGTAATGTTTTTCTTCTGGACCTCTTATTCAGACTAGTAGTCTCACAGCCTGAAGGTTAGATAACTTCATTTTGATATCAGGTATGATGTTTTTTTTATGTATGACCTTGTTTTGTAGGTAGGTGACAGTATTTAGCTGATAGTGGTTTGTAATGTTTTAATCAAGATAGGCTGTGCATTTTTAAAAGTGGTCTGAATTGCACTTACAATAAGGACTGACTTCATTGTTTACGATATCATAGGCTAGAAAAAATTTTAAAAATACCGAAACCAATCCAGTTCTTTGTTATCATATAAAGAACAAATATCATTCATATGTTGTGATACATTAAATCATTAGGAATTCTCCATCTTTTTTGCAACTGGAATGAAAATAAATAAAATAAAAAGCTTACATGCACTTTTAAATGAAGAAGTTCCAGAGTTCTGGAAGTATGAAAAGCCTCATGTGGACAGAATACTGCTGAACTTCTCAAAAGTCACTCAATGGTTCTCAACCATTTCTGTAATGAGAAGAAGGGATCCAATTAGAGGGCCCTTGTCAACGATATTTGGGTGGAGAAGGGGACCTTGGTTGACTGTAGACTGAAGGAAAAAACATGTTATTCCCTTAACTGTACACAGAAAGAATTTGATGGAGTTCCTGTTCCAGGAAGAGATCACAATGTGAAGATCATTTGTGCACTTGAAAGCCACCTCTTGAAAGCAGAATCCAATCTTGTTGGTTACACACAGCAACCTTCCTCAGTCCTGTTCCAACCAAGCTTGAGGTGTTTTCTGGAAGGGTGTCTGGTGATGGGAACAGGGACAAGCTGATAGGAAGTTTGCATGGTGATGTGCTGAGCCTGATAGAGCTGCTATTAAATTGAGTGGGAGCAAGCTCAACTCTTAAATGCGGGAAATATTTTATTGTGAACTATCTGCATGACAGATGCCAGGCAGATCAATAAGGGCTTCCAGTGCTTCCTGCTGCTTACCTTTGATGAACACTAGATTTATGACATACACACAAACTAAACCCCAGCTCATTTCATCTCCCTTGATGGCAGCTGCTGCTGAAGATAAGACAGACTTTATTGCCTTAACTGGCTGGATAAGGAAAAAAAGTTATCTGCGAAAAGGTTAAGAAATGCAACTTTTTTTCAGTTCCCTACCAATTTGACTGTGTCCTTCATAAGAGCTTGCTTACAGTGTAGTTTTTCAGAGGAAGAGAGAAAGATTTGTTTATTTGAGTACTAAAGAAAAAGGATTGAGATTTATTTCAGAAGGAAGAAATAGAGTATGTTTAGGATTAACCTATCATGTCAAGTGATCTGTGTATAAATTCAATCCAAAAATTTACACAGTGGATGAAGAGCCTGGCAATGCTCTCAACTGTGGCCAGCTTTGGAGAACATGAGCCAGAGGCACAACTCTGGCAAAGAGGCCTCCCAGGATCTGCAGAGCAATGCACCAGAAAGGACATGAGGAGCATTTGAACATTAAAACCATCAAAGACCTTAGTTGCAGTTGTGACGCAAAACTGTTGCTGCTTTTCTAAAAGTCTGTTTTGCATGAAGGATGTAGTTTTTCAAAAACAAGAAAATAAGTTGCTCTGTAGCTTGTGTTCATTTGCAGTGTTGTGTGATGGGGTGCATTTTTCTTGAGGTGGTGACAATTGAAGTGTGGTAGCAATGTTAGGTTTTCTGTGTTGTTGGCATAGCTGAACAGGGAGTCAAAAAGCTGGAGCTTCACTGCACACTCATCCCTCCAAGTCTGTCCATGGCTTTGTATTTGATCATTCCTCTCTCTCTTATGCTGACTTACAAAAGGGCATGTGTTCAGTTTTACAAAGCTCTGCAAACTCCTTCAGGGTTAATGGATGAAGTGTAATTTAATCTTGAGGAGCTGGGAGAAGAAATGAAGGATTTTGAGGGCAAGAGGACTGGTCCCTATAAGGCTTCTGCTGGATATCAGGCAGGGGCAGAAACGGTGTATGTGCATTGTTTGTTGAAATGGAGCACATCATCTTCCTTATTTAAAAAGAAAGGTTAGAGGAGTGGGTGGAATTTGTGTGGGAAGGGACCAAGAAGGGGGATGGTAATACTACCTCATTAAAAATAGATGATGCCTTGTTTTATGTGGTATCTGTGGTTTGATTTCTGCCCGCAGGCTTACATGCAGCCCCACTTGCTGGGAAATGAATTTACACATTTAGAGTTTCCACGGAGGGTGCAGCGCAAGGAAGTTGGAAAGAGGATGCTGTACCGTGACTTCAACATGACTGGCTGGTAAGAATGTGTCCTTCTCAGCAGGTCAGCCTTCTCCCCTAGCCAATGCCTGCTTTGTACCTATGTTTGATTAAACTGCATCAAACAAGGAGATGTAGCCCTGCGTTCTAAAAGAAAAGGCACTTCCTTCTTCCAGGTGTATTTTTCTTCTAGAAGATAATGTTTTAAATAAGTCAACTTCCCTCCAGAGAGTTCATTTTAACGTGTGAGTACTCAAAGCAGAGCAAGCATATAAAGGCAAAGATGTGTCAGGGGATCTTTCTGAAAGCTAAACAATTTTTCTGTCTTGGAAGTAGCTTTTTATAAATTCTGGATCAGAGGGTGAGACATTTGTCTTTTAAACCAAGACGTTGGGCCATCATGCTTTCACATGCCAAGGAAAGCTTGCAGAAGTGAAGAGCTGCCTTCCCTACTCTACTGCATCTGGCCCTTAGTTAGGATATCCCTTGAGGAACTGTTTTACACATGGGCCTAGCTGAACACAACCAGCCTAAAATGAAAAGGCTTGAATGAACAGCATGGAATTAAAGAAGTGAAGACAAAAAGAATGATGTGGATTTTTTTGTTTCTGGCTAAATGTCTTCATTGTTTTTTGTTGGTTCAATAGGCTCCTTGGAGAAATCCTAATCTTTGCTGTTTTGAGTTCTGTGCATGACCTATAAAGGCAAAAACCCAATATATGCAAATGGTCTTAATTTCCATGACATTTATGTTTTAGTGTCTGTATTAAACATCTTTTCAGGAAGAAAAAGAACAGAGGGGTTAAAAAGAAAGCCTATTTTAGGTTTGGAAGCCTGGATGCTCACATACAACTACAGCTCTACATAATTTTTGCTTTGTTCTATGCTTTATGGACCATAAATATAATGATGTTTTAATGGCAGAATAATGATCTAAGTTTAAAATAATCTGAAGTGTTTGTGCAGAACATGTAAATCTGAGAATAACCATCATTGTCTGTCATCTTGAACAGCTGCTAGTAGAATATGCAGTTTCACCCTGAGAATGATGACTTCACATTTTAAAAAGGCTACAGGCATGAGCAAAAGAATAGGAACAGAATGAGAACACTGGATCAACTGAGGACTTAGACAGCAAAACATTTGGAAGATCATGAGACACTCTCCCAATTTCTGCAGAAGGAGGGGTTTTTTGTTAAACTCCCAGATGTCTCTGGAGGCACCAGTAAAGAATGGCTTCATGTAGACTTCCAAAAGCACTTTTTCAAGATGTGAAAAATCATCATGCCTGTTGGGAGGAAAAACATGTGGGGGAGAGCTACAGAAGTATCATAGGCCAGGAACTTCCTGAGAGGAGGGCAAGAACAGATTTCTGTCATCATGGCTGGAAGGCAGAGGGGGTTTCTTCAGGATCATGGGAGTTGTTTTGCATTTCCCTGGTTGGTTAGTGGTCTGGAAAGGAAATGAGATTGGAATGGTTGAAGTTGCAGCATTGGCAGGTGACACCACAGCTCTTTTCCTATTAAACAAGAATGACCATGAGGTACTGCAAAGAACTAAGTGATTAACACAAATGGACGTCACTGAGATCAAATTTGGTATTAATAAATGAATAAAGTAAAGCATGAAGAGAAAAAAAAATTCTATTTATGCACATTAGAGGTTCCAAATGAAATGTAAAAAAACTCAGTGGAAGTTTTGCTTATTACAGTATTTTTTTTCCAGTCCAAATCACCAACAGAATGTTGAGATTTGTACGGCAATGGACAGTATAGCAGGGAGGAGAAGACAGTTATTTTCCAGTTGATTTTTCTGAATTTCCTGAAGTCTAGGACACACGTTGATCCAGTTAGAAATTCTAATATGGTCAATGCAAAAATTGTCACCAGTTCAGTACAAATATGCTTAGCCGTAAGCAGTTATTCTGCAATAAATGTTTGAACTGTGACTTGAAAATTCAAGTCTGAATTCATCACAGTATTGTCCCAGAAAAAGGTGGTCTGTGCCAAGCAGAAGCATGTGGAGACTGTGATGAGGCTACCTCTCCCTGTTGTTCCTTTTGACTTCTGGATGGAAGTGAAAAATGGGGCCTGCATTTTTGTCCTAATAAAAGAATTGGAATCCTTCAGCTGCTCCATATTGCACAAGTAGTGCATCAGTTACCTCTTTATTTGGTTGCCTCGGGACAATAAAATGCCGAGGAAATTGCTCTATTGTCATACATTTGTGTAAAACAGAGCCCTTCTAAATAACGATCTATTTCTTTCTGCAAGGTTTGGCCCAAGGTGTTTGTTATCCATTGAATTGTGTGCAATGATCCCCTAGGTAGAAGAGAAGCAATCCATTTCTGTTTATCTAAAAGTCTGGGTCAATTTTAATGGTTGTGATTGTGGACAAGACATTAGATTTCCAGTTTGGTGGGCCCTCAGAGGTGACACTTTGAGGTGGCAGAGGTTTCTTAGCGGCTGTTTTCCACTTCAATGGTTTTGCTTCTATTTTCTTCCCTTTCTTATTCCTGGATTCAACTGATGCATCAGGACATTGTGGCTGAGGACATGTCTGTTTTGCATTTGTTTCTAAGGATACTATCTATCATGGAGAATAAATTAGCATATATATTCCTTTTCTAGAAAATGTCAGATGGCGCTTTGGCCAGCCAGAGCTTGATACACTAAAATGCTGCTGAACTTTTATCACATACAATGCAGATGATCAATTGTCTGAATTGTTTTTTGGTCACTAACTTCACTGTTTGTTGACAGTTACACATACATGTAGAGAGGTGCAGGTGATACTAGGAAGAAACAGCTACTCTTAGACTTAATTACTTAATCCTTTAGTGAGAGAATGTAGAACACTTTCTGCTTTGATGTTTCCTCAGGAAAATAAATTGTTTTATTTTACAATTCAGTATACTTTTTGTGTTTTCTATTAGAAGCTGTATGTGACTTTTTTTTCTTCATTTTTATCCTTCTTCTTTGCTCCGGAGCTTTTCAGATTCTCAACAATGCCTTGGCTTGCCCAGCTTGTTTGGATTACAAAAGATTATTGTCTTTGGGTCTGTTATAATGTATTTGGCCCTTTATTTTTTCTTTCTGCTTTTTTTTTTCTATTTTTTTTTTTTTTTCATGTGAAGTTTCCACACTGGCTTTGTCTCCACAGCCCACAGTGGTAGTACAGCTGCCAAGTTTCCCCACAGCATTAGGACAACCACTGATCCAGCAATGTGTACTGCATCACTAGTCCAGGCTGCCTGTAACTGCTTTGAGACCATCCTTTCCCTTCTTGCTCCAGCTTGCTCCCTTTCTCCTTTTTTTTCAGTGGCAATTGCAGTGAGAAATCATTCTATATTAAATATATGTAAAATAAATCCCACACTGGTGGGAGCTGACCATGAACTGCCCTTCCTGACCCTTGCCCCATGTGCATTGTGATTGAACAACGATTGCAAAAGGTGTAGCATAGCTGGCAAGGCATCTTAAGAACAGTGTGTCCTGCTGAACAAGCTTTTGAGCTGTCTTGAGCCATAATTTTCTGGCAGATATCTGTGTTACTGACAGTCTTTCACAGCTGGGTCTCTGGGCTGGAGTTTTCAAGCCCATGCCTTGCAGAGGGTAGACTTATATTGGAGAGAGGTGTCCTGGTGGTTTTGACAAGTCCTGGCAACAGAAGCATCAGAAAAGACTCAGAGGCCATGTAAGCAGAGTGGTCAGTGCTAAAAAAGGGGAGTGAATAAACTGGAGTGGAAATATGAGGGGGAAAACAGCAGGCCTGGCAATAGCTGCTCCTATAAAGGACTGCACATAATTAGTGTTCCCTGTCTCTGGCTTTTATTTGAAGTTAAGACACAGTTGGTTAGACTTCCTTCCTGTGTACATCCAGTGTGAACAATTTTGAAGTACTTTGCTTTGACTATATCCTAGAACCTTCCCAGACTTGGATTCCTGACTGCCTGTATCCTTCACTGTGGCTCCTTCCAGAGTTCCCCTCTCAACCTTCTGTGGGGCTGGAGGAGCTGTACTGCACTGTGCTTAACCAAAGGCATCCAGAAGGTGCTACCAGTTGGCATCAACTTCGGTGGTTTCAAAATTAATTCTTTGCTTCTCCTTGGAACAAAAACAGTGGCTTTTAAATTGCTTACATTGGAGTTCTTTAAAGGCTTGTTTCCAGATCACAACTTCAACTTTTTGACTTTTTATTAGCATGGCAAAGGAGACCTAGATAATAAGTACAATTTTTGACCTATTTGTTAGTTGCTTTCCTTGCCCTCCAGGAGAGGCAGAGCTGAGCTGCACCCCATCAGAACTGGTTTGAGGCCGTGTAGTGCCCACCACATACCATGGGCAGAAGCCCAAGGCAGCAGCGTGTGGGGAAATTGGGCACTGTCTCTGAGTGCACCAACTTTGCAGCAGCAGTGGAGCCCTTGCCAGCACCGTGTCCATGTGTCTGGTGAGGGGGTGCTGTGGCACATGGGGTCAGCCCCCGAGGGTCAGCCCGTGCTGGGGAATCGCCCGCCCGCGTGATTTATTCCAAAGCAGGGAGGCTGATGCCCTGAGGCAAGCACTAAGCAAAACCCATTTTATTCTAGAGTCAATATTGTCCACTGCCTGGAAAGCTGCCAGCCTGCTCTGCGCTCGCCCTTTTCTTTCCAACAGGGAATGTCTTTCAGCCTCTAAGCATCTGATTAAAAAAGCAACTTCACTTTTCAAGCCATTTTATTTTGTTTGGGATGGATGCCTTTTGCTTTCATTGTGCAGCCCGCCTTGCCGTCTGCGGTTCAGACTCCAGCTCACAAAAACCAGGCTCTCATTAATCACTTATTGGGGATCCAGAATACCCCAGTGAGAGCCAATGTACATGTTTTGCTTGGTAATGTCTGAGCTGATTTGAACAAATATTGCCAATGTGGCTGCTATCTTACTCTTTATTGCTGCGCTCAATGTCCTTTGACAGCACATTCAGGTAGCCTGCCCAAGGAGTGCCTGAGCAGACTGAGAAATGCCACAGAAATTCTTTATGGAGCTGGCACCTGTGCTGCAC